CCATGCGCGCCTTGTCCTGCGCAGACTGCGGGTCCCCGGGCCTGCAACGGGGACAGTGAGACCAGGGGGGCTGCACCCCAAACCCTTCTGGCTTTGGGGAGATCGCAGGGGCATTGGGAGCATCCCAAGGGATTTTGAGGAGGATCTCGGGTAGGTACAGAGGATCTTGAGCGGGTTTCAGGGGCTTGGCAGAATCCCAGGGGGTTTGAGGGTGGATCTCAGGGGTTCTGCAGAGGGTTTGGGGAGATCTCGAGATATTCAGGGAACCTTGGGATTTGGGAAGAGTTTGGGGGGGGTCTCAGGAGATTTAGGGAGCATTTGCAGAGAATTCAGGCGGTCTGGGGGGATTTCAGGCGAGTCAGAGAGGATCTCAAGGGCTTTAGGACAATCTCGGGTGGGGGGGTTGGTGGTTTTCTGGGGTCTCAGCAGGGTTTGGGGGGATTTTAGGGAGATCTGAGGGTTTACTCTGGGGTCACCTGGCAAACTTGCAGTCAGAGGCGATGTGCCCAGCGCCGCCGCACTTGGTGCACACGGTGGTGTTGGTGATGCTGCGGGTCTCGGTGCTCTGCCACGGCCGCAGGATCCTGCAGGGAATGGGGGGGTTATCTGGGGGCTCGGGGGGTTATTTGGGGTGAACTGGGGGTGCGGGGCCCCCCTGACCTGTTGTCGTCCTCCCGCAGGGTCCCGTTGAGCCGCGCCAGCTCCCTCAGCTGCATCTTGCGCAGGTCGTTCTGGTCCTCGGGGGTCTCGATGCCCTGCTTCAGGATGTTCCGGATCTGGGGGGCACAGGGACTGTCAGGGGGGGTCTGCGCTGCCGGGGGCCTCCCCCAGCCCTCCCGGGACACCCACGGACCTGCTCCACGGCCTTCTTGACGTTCTCCATGGTGTTGGCAGTGACCAGGGCGTGCAGGGGCTCGTCCTCGCCCGGCAGCATCTGCCCGTCCTTGCGGCCCACCTTGCCCTCCTTCACCGAGCCCTTGCCCCGGATCATGATCTTGGCATTGCACTCCTTCTCGATGTTCTTCAGCGTGTTCCCCCTGGCAATCGGGCACCCAGAACAAGGGGGTCACAGGTGGACTCAAGGGGACACCCCACGGGTCCACCCACACTGGAACGCTGCAGCTCCTGCCCTGGATCACGACCTTGGCATTATACTCCATGTTCTTCAGCGTGTTCCCCCTGGGAACGGGGGATCCCAAAATGGGGGGGATGGAGCCCACGGGCCCATTGGGGCCCCCCCACCGGGGGACGGTGCAGACCCAGCAGCACATGGCTCATCAGGAGCTCAAGCTCATTAAGAAACAGGGTATCATTATGCACCCTGCAAGTTATTTAGGGTGAAGAACGGGGCACAACCCAGGAAGGGAGAGGGAAAGGGGGTCACCCACCTGAATATTTTGGGGGATACTGAGAGAGAACACAATCCAGACGGGAAAGGGGGTCACCCCGCTGGATTGGGGGGGCACCTCAGAAACCCACAGGGGCACTCACATCAGGACCCCACAGGTGACAAGACGGGGACCCAGCAGCACCCCAGTGTCATTAGGAGCTCCCCAGATTTCTGGGGTGAAGCCCAGGGGACTCCTCTCCAGTCTCACAGTCCCCCCAACCCTTTGAGTTTTGGGGTGCCCACCTGGGCCCGATGAGGAGCCCCACGAAGTTGATCTCGGGGTACTCGTCCTGCGGGATCATCACCTTGTCGCTCACCCGCGTCGCCGGCGGCCTGGGGGGGGGGTGAAAGGGGGGGGGGTCAGCCCCTCGGGGGAGCCCCAAACCAGGCAGAATCAGCCCCAAATCGGGGTGGGGGGGCCCCCCCTCACTTGTAGTCAGCCGGGGGCTTGAAGTCGGGGTTCAGGGCCACCATCTCGGTGATGAGGTTGTGCCGCTCCTCCTCCAGCTTCTTGCGCGTGCGGAACTCGCGCGTGTTCAGGCGCTTCCCCTCGCTGTTGTAGATGGGCTCCGGGGAGGGGGACCTGCCCAGGGGGGTGGGGGGGTCACCAGAGTGTCCTGACACCCCCCCAGAGGGGCCTGTGCCCACAGACCTCCCCCAGAGCCCCCCCAGCCCCCCGGGTGCGGGGGCCCTTCCCTGCCCTCCCTGCTGTCAGCGGGTCCTGGGGAGGGGGACCTGAGGGGCCGGGGGGGTGTCACCAGGGCCAGCCCCCCTCCAGGGTGAGGGGGCTGCATCCCTGACCCCCCAAACCACCACGACCCCCACACTGCCCCCCTCTGCCACGACCCGGGGCAGGGGCTGCCCCCTCCCACCCCCAGGAGGGGCTTAATTGGGAGGGGAACATTAATTAGTGCCCACTAAAGGCCAGAAGAGCCCCCCCCCCATAAAATCAGCCGCTCCTGCCCCTCTTTGCCCGTTTCTCTCCAGTTTGGGCCCATTTTGCCTCGCTTGTTCAGGGTTTGGCCCCTTTCTCTCTGGCTTTGTCCATTTCTCCCTGCTTTTGCCCCGTTTCTGCTCCTTTTCTCCCTGGTTTTGCCATTTTTGCCCGTTTCTCCCCAGCTTTGCCCGTTTCCCCGGTTTCAAGGAGGAAAAGGTCCCTGTCTGGGGGGGCCGCGCGGCTTTGGCAGCCCTGGAGGGAAGAGTCAAGGTCGCTTGAGCTGAGCCGTGTCGGGGTGAGAAAATCAGATTATGATTAAAAATCAGAATTATCAGCGAGGAAGGAAAAAAAGAGTCAGAATCGCTCGGGTTTGGTTAAATCGGCCCTTGGCTCCCCTCCCCCCAAAATAGCGAATTTTGGCAGCGGCTGCAAGAAGGGAAGAGATTAAGGCGGATCCTCCAAAAACAGCCGGCGCGGGCGACAGTCGAACCTGCCCCCGTTTTGGGGGGAAAAAGCGACTTTTCGGGGTTGGCAGCAGCCGGGTCCTCGGTGGAACTGCGACGTCACTGTCCCCGCTCGTGATTAATCGTTAATTCATTAATTAATCCCCCCCCCCCAGCGCTAACGACGCCGCGGCGCGGAGCGGCCTCGGCCCGGGCGCTGCAGGAGCAAGGCTGGGTTAGCGCGGGGCCTGCGCCCCCAAACCTGGGACACCCCCAAAACCTGGAGGTGCGGGGTGACCCCCAAAACCTGGGGGGCCGGAGGGTGTGCCCCCCGTGCCGGGACCCAGGAGGGCCCCCCCGGCCACCACAGGGCGAGGGATCCCCGCCAGGTGAGGGATCCCTGAGGACACAGGGACCGCCCCAGGACTGGGGACCCCTGTAGGGTGAGGGACCCCCACAGAGCTGGGGACCCCATGGGGTGGAGGGACCCCCATAAGGTGAGGGATCCCTGAGGACACAGAGACCCCCCCAGGGTTGGGGACCCCCTCAGAGTAGGGATCTCCTGAGGGGTGAGGGACCCCTGTCCTGGCCTTCCACAGAAAAATGGGACCAAAACAGCTGGAAAAGGTGAAAGGGGGGTCGGGGCTGGAATTTGGCTCTTTTTGGGGGGCTGATGGCAGCTCTGGCCCCCCTCAAGCCAAATTAGAGAAAAAGAAGGGGAAGGGGGGGTAAAAGGGGGTGAAAAGGGGGTGAAAGGAGGTGCAGTGGGGCCGGGGGGAGCAGAGGAGCCGGGGCCTTGTTCAGCCACCAGAGCTCGTTAATCTGCCACCGTGCGTCGTTAATCCACAGCTAACGAGGGCCAGGCCGGGGTCAGTGGGGCACAGAGAGCACCCCAAACCCGGGGGAAGGGCCCCAAAGTGGGGGGGTCCCTGGCTCAGTGTGGGGTACAGAGCAGCACCCCAAATCCGGGGGAAGGGCCCCAAAACAGGGGGAGGCAGCGGGGGGAGGTCCCATCCTGCCCTCGGGGTTCGGGGTGCCCGGGTCTCCCGTGCACAATTTGCGGGTCACGGGGGGCCCGGGGGGTCACTGAGGGGGTGCCCAGGTCTCGGGGGGGGCCCGGGGGGGGCTCAGGTGTCCCGGGGGGGCCCGGGGGGGGGGGGGGGGGGGGGGGTCCCGCCCTGCCCGCGGGGGTGGGGGGGATGCCCAGGTCTCCCGTGCGCAGTTTGCGGGTCAGGTCTTCGATCTGCAGTTGCACTGGAAGGAACCCGGTCCCGGAGAGGTGAGAGAGACACAGTTACAAAACACCCACATTTCGCCCCAAAACAACATTCCTCCCCCACATCCTGCCCCAGCCCAGCTCGGCCGGGCTAAAACTCCACTTTCTACCTACACCGGCTCCGTGGCACCAAAAACAGGCATTACTGCCCTAAAACCAAACGTTATGGTGAGAAAAAACCAGGGGTTATCACCTAAAATTGACATTATTAGCAGAAAAATAGGCCTTCTTATCAATAACAGCAGGTTATTACCCAAAAAGCACATTATTCCCCCAAAAAAGCACATCATTACCAAAAAAACGCAGGTTATTACCAAGAAAAAAATCATATTACAAAAAAATTCACATTATTACCCAAAAAAGCACATTATTACCAAACCTCCTAGCATTATTATGGAAAAACTAGAAATTGTTATCATAAAACCAGACATTATTACCTAAAACAGAAGATTATAAGTCAAAAAAAGACATTATTTCCTAAAATACCATACTGTTACCTAAAAAGCGAGATTATTACTTAAAAAGGTAAACGTTATCACCTAAAACCACAGTTTTACCTAAATGAACCACAATTTTACCTAAAACAGGAGATTGCTAAAAAATCAGACATTATTGCCTAAAAGAACCACATTACCCAAAAGACAAAGTTACTAAAAAAAGCAACTGTTATTACCTAGAACAGGAAATTACATTAAACACAGACATTATTATCTAAAACACCTCAGTGTATCAGAAGCACACGTTACCAAAAGAACACTGGCAGCTTAAAACACACGTGACACCTAAACAGCACATTACTATCAAAAACCAGACATTGATAACCAAAATAAAGAGATTATTGCATTCAAATGACACATTATTGTCTAGAACTGCACATTGTTATCTAAAACTGCAGCTTTCAGCCTCATCCCCCAGAGGTCGCTTCTGTTGGTAACTGGGGAGGAATTTGGGGGGCAGCCTGGGGGGTCACACAGTGGTCACTGTCCCCCAGGGCCCAATTTGGGCCCAAACGCCTGAATTTTGGCCAAGGCTGGTGGCTGAGAGACACCAAAGTGAGCCCTGGGGGACAGTGGGGGCTGTGCCCTCCCATTGCCCCCAGCCCCAATCAGGGGGTTCTGACCCCAAATCTGAGGGGGGGGGAGGTTATGACTCCAAACCCCCGGGGATTCCAACCCCAAATCCTCAGGGTTCTGACCCCAACTCCCCACGTTTTAACCCCAAATTTGGGGGTGTTACCGATGTAGGCATGGGAGTTCTAACCCCAAATCTCGAGGGGGGGTTCTGCCTCCAAACCCTGGCAGGTTCCTCCCGATTTGCCCCCAGACCGTTACCGATGTGGGGGTGCAGCCTGGGCAGAGGGGTCTGATCCCAAACCTCGGGTTTTGACCCCAATCCCGGGGGGGTTCTGACCCCAAATCCCGGGTGTGTCCTGACGCCCAATCCCGGAGGGGTTTAAACCCCAAAGCCCGGGGACTGTGACCCCAAAAGCCCCTGTTTTTCCCCCAAACCGTTACCGATGTAGGCGCGTTCCTGCTCCCGCGTCAGCCCGGGCGGGATCACCGTGGGCATCCCCGGGATCACCGTCTTCTGGTCCAGCGAGTCCTGGTTCCAGCGGCTGCGCTTCCGCTTCCGCGGGAAGTCTGGGGGGGAAACCAAGGGATGGGGGCAAATCCGGCACCGGGGGGGGACAAATCCCGGCACCCGGGGGGCGCGGGCGGCCATAGGGACAAGAGGAGGACAACGGGAGGAGGAGTGGGGGGGTGTCGGAGCGTCGCTTTGTCCCTGGCGGGGATTTGCGGGACCCAAGGGGTGTTTTGGGGGGGTCCCAGGGGAAGCCCCGTCCCCACAATGGGGAGATGGCGGGGGTCGCTCTGTCCCCGAGAGGAGATTTGCGGGACGCGGGGGTTGTTCTGCGGGGCCCAAGGGAACCTCCGTCCCCGGCTGGGGTTTAGGGGGGTCGCTCTGTCCCCGTGGGACGTTTCGGAGGGGTCGCTCCACCCTGGCGGTGTGTTTGGGGGTCCCGTTTCAGAGATTCCCCCCTCTCCCTCCTGCCCCCGCCGGGCTCCATCTTGGCCGCGCATGTCACGACACGTGTCGCGGCCGCCGGGGGGGCGAGGGGGGGGCGGAAGCAACGGGACTCCCCCCGAACGGGGAGGTTACAGCCCGGAGACCCCCC